AGGTATGCCTGATTCAGGCCATGGTTTTTTCAGTCATTTTTTATGCATCTGCCTAAGGATGACCAAAGAAAAATTGATGTCTTGAAGTGTGGTGTTGGAGAAGTGTACTGTATATCCCACTGGACTGCCCAAAGAACAAGCAGACATGTCTTGGAGAAGTGCAGCCAGCGTGTTCTCTGGAGGCAAAGATGATGAACTTTGTCTCCCATACTTTGGGCTAGGAGAGATTGTTCCTTGGAGAGGGACATCACACTTAGAAAGGTAGACAGCAGAGGAGAGGAAGATCCTCCACCAGGTGGATTAACGGTGACTGCAGCAATGGGCTTGAGTGTGTCGGAGATGTTGAGGATGGCACAGGATAGACAGGGTTCAGATCTTTTCTAAGGGTCACTATGAGTCATATTCAACTCCACGGCACCTAAAAATACCAAGTCCTAACACTAATTGCATGTTTTAATTATTTGCATAGTACCAGAAGTCTTAATAAGTTTACTTTTTTTAAAAAAAGTAAAATATTTATTGTATACTAGTTTACTTAAAAGCTCACATACATTGTTTTTCACATTGGATTGTTCACATTTCCTTTACCCACTGCTCCCTCCACCCATTAAATTGTGCGACCCAATGATTAACCACATCACTATGCTTTTTCTGAGGCAAATTTTTGTTAGTTTTTCTAGCGTTCCATGGCACAGTCAATATTCTTCACCAATACCATAATTCAAGGAAGTAAATTATTTTTCAATCTTATTTATTGCCCAGTTTTTGCATGCATACAAGGCAATTGAAAATACCCTTCTTCAGGCCAGGCACATCTCAGTTCTCTAAATGACGTCTTTGCTTTGTAACATTTTAGCGGTCTTTTGCAGCAAATTTGTGCAATACGTGAGTCATTTGATTTCTTGACTTCTTTCTTGGGCATTGATTGTGGATCCAGATAGAATGAAATCTTTTGAAATATCAGTGTTTGTTTGTCCTGTTGTTTATTGACATTGTAAGGATTTTTATTTTCTTTTTGTTGAAATATAATCCATAATGAAGGCTGTAGTCTTTGATCATCATCAGTAAGTGCTTCAGGTCTTCAAAGGCTATTAGTAAGGATTAAATGAGATCAACTTGTGCTTGGCAAAATGAGCCCTGGTGGTGGTATGGTTAAAGAATCAACTGCTAACCAACCACAAGGTCAGGTTTTCAATACCAGCCTCTCTGTGGGAGAAAGATTAGGCAGTAAATATTTACAGTCTTGAATACCCTGTTGGCATTTTTATTCTCTCCTACAAGGTCACTGTGCATTAAGAATTAATAGCAATGAGGCTTATGTTTGTTTAGTGGTTGGCTTAGTGTAAATGCCCTTGAACTGTAGTATTTTTATATCAGTGAGATAACAGGAGAAAATACTTTAAATTTTCTCTAATAGTACCATCAGAATTAACATTGTAAACACATCTTTCCAGTTATATTTGTTTGGAATTGAGATCTGTAGAGTTCTAGTGGTATAATAGGTTAAGAAGTTGTGATAGAAACCCAAAGCAGTACCTCTCTGGTGATTTGATGCCACCAGCTGTTTTGAGTGAGGACGGACGGACAGTCTTCTCTTGTGTGACTTTTAACCCCCCAAAACCCAGTAGGGGTTCAATTATGAATTGATTCTGTCTTGAAGATAATGAATATTTTACTTATTTCAGTGATAGAAGAGTCTTAGCATTGCTGGATTTAATGTTTAATCGTTATTAGAGGCTTTTTAAAAACATAGTATTTGGTAAAGGCAGTTTCTCAAGTAGCAGAATTCCTCTCCTCTCACCTGCCCCAATTTTAATTTTGCTTTAGGGAAAGTTTACAAAGCAAGTTAGTTTCTCATTTGGTATTTTGTACATTGAAGTACTCCTTACCACTGGTTACATTCCCCACAGTGTTTCTGCATACTCCACATTTTCTCCAGGAGTTCCTCATTTGAATTTTCTTCTCCTTTCTGCTCTCATTGCTTTTGAGCAAATACTGTCCTTTTAATCTTGTATATAAACTCCACAGACAAAGAAACGACGTTAGGTATAGAAGAGAGTTCATGTCTTATTCATGGGGGTCACTATGTATTCGACTTGATGACACTTAATCACTACCAAGTGATACTAGTGTTGCTCTATTTTGGAGGAACATTCTTCTACTTTATACATCACTGCTTGCCAATTTGCTGTACTGAGGTAATCTGGGTTGGCTGTGATGCTGAACCTGTGCCATTGGGTATTAAACACCCTAATAGTTTTCCAATATGGACAGTGTTTGGTGGAGCTCCCAGTTGTAGGACAGGTTTGGAAGCAGGAGTGGCATCCACTTCCTAAACCACATGCCTATGAAAACCCTATGAACGTAGAGAAATTTCTAGAAAGGCATCAGGTCTTTTGTTCATGGCGTCGCTATGAGTCATGCTCGACTCGACAGCAATCAACAACAACAGTCTTGTATAATTGGTTACTCCAAGGAACACTCAGGTGCTGTTTTTTATTTTATACATCTGTTTATTACAAATTAGGAATGACATTGTAAAGAATACGAATTCCAGAACATTTAAGTATGCACATGGAGAACTTACCCATCCACCAAGAGGCAGCTATTTGAACAGAATAAGGAGAGACTGTGTGGTTTAAAATCAGGAAAACTATACATCAAGATTGTATCCTTTCACTCCACTTATTTAATCTTAATCCTGAGCAAATACCAGAGAAGCTGCAGTCTATGAAGAACTTGATATAAGGATTGGAGGAAAGACCGGTTAACAACCCGAGATTCAGACAACACAACTTATTTGTTGTAAAGAAGGAGGACTCGATGTGCTTAATGATGGAGATGAAAGGCTACAGCCGTCAATATAGCTAATATTGCAACATAAAATATAATTTCTCACAAGCAAATCAGTAAGCAACATCATGATAGATGGAGAAAAAGTTGAAGTTGTCTAGGAATTCATTGTATGTGTAGACACAACCAGTGTCCATGGAAGCAGCAGTCAGTAAATCACATGACTCGCTGCATTTGGCAGATCTGCTTTGAAGTATTAAAGAGGAAAGGTGCTATTTTGAGGACTAAGATGCATGTAACCCAAGCCATGGCATTTTCAGTTCACTCATGCATACAGAAGGTGGGCAATGAAATGATTGGTGCCTTTGAAGTATGGTGTTGGTGAGGAATATTGACAAAAACCACAAACTGCCAGGAAAATGAGTACATCTGCCTTAGACAAAGGTATAGCAGGAATACTCTTTAGAAGCAAGCATGGTGAGACTTTGCCTCATGTGCTTTAGACATGCAATCAGGAGGGACCAGTCCCTGGAGAATGGGACATGATGCTTGGTAAAATAGAGAGAAAAAAAATACCCTCAGCGAGATGGGTTGACGTAGTGGCTGCAGTATGGGTTCAAGTATGAGAATGGGGTGGAAGCAGGCGATATCCTGCTTTGCAGAGGCTTAGCGTGAATTAATTAATGATGACTAGAAAATTCCTATAAACACTTAGCTGACAAAAAGGTGGTCTCTGGGAATGGCTTTAGCTGAAAGCCATAATGGTGTCTCAGTGTCAATCTTAGGAATTACTCCAGTAAGACAAGTAAATCTGATCTCTATCTCTCTTTTTTAGTCATACCATCTAGCTGTTCTGGTTTCAGCCTAGTGTGGGCTTTGTTTTATGTGGTTCATGAGTCCTTTCTTCATTCTCTTTTGCTCTGGATGAGAAGAGTTGTATCTTAGATGGCTGCTTACGTTTCTAAGAGCCCAAGCGAAGATTTCCTTTTAGATTTTCTTTTAGTGGGCTCATTCTTGTGGGCACTGAGGTATGCTGAGCTAACTACACCATTTGATGCAGTAGGCACTACAGGCAAATAGGTGGTCTAATCCTAGCTAGAAGCTCTGCATCTTTGTCTCCTACCCTGAGGAGCTAAATCAAGTTATAGAAATGCCTTTTTGTTTTCTATATGCTTAAAGGCTAAACCAGTGTAGGCCTAAACAAGCAGCTCTGTCTTGTACACTCTTAACTTTTAATCTTAAACTCTTTGATTTGCTCTTGTCTGGTGGGAGAGTAAGAGGAGAAAAACAGGTTTTTACTCCTTTGTTCATTATTCTGTCCATACAAAACGAAACAGTGTTGTGAACCTTCCTGTCCATTTTGTATTGATAAGTACAAGAGGCTTTTCTTGAATTTAGACAGGCAGTTGGGTAAGATAAGTGGCTAGCAGTTCTCTTTATTTTTTGTAATACTCTTTTTAGTGAAGATTTACTTAGTAAATTAAATTCCTTTTTGACAGTGTTACATAAACTGTTCAGTTACACTTTCTACATGTGTCCACATTCTCTTTAATATAATTATGTCTGGTTGTTTCATTTCCAGATTCCTTATGTTCCCATCTTTGGTTTAGAATGATTGTTTATACCATCCTCCTTATTTCCTCTGTTTTGTGTACACTTAACTGTCAGGGTTATGGTTAGCCAGGGTGTTGCTTTTCCCTTTCGCCAGCAGTGAAGATCTTGCCATATTTGTGTTTTTGTAAGACCCTTAAATTTTGTCTCAGCTTCATCATACTTGATTAGAAATTATATTTTAGTTTTATTTCCGAAGGCCTTGTGACATGTTTCTATATGTTTAGTATACTTCTTAGAGAAACTATTAAAATGCATATTTATACTAATGAATTTAACTGAAGACTAGTTTACATTCTAGCCAAGAAATTTCTTTTTATTCTGTTCCCCATTTTAAATTATGTCTTCCTAGGTCTGGGCTATAATCTTGGGGGTTCCTCTAGACTCTGTCAGTCTAGTAAGTCTGCTATTTATTTTAAGTAAAAATCAGAGTTTTGTTAAATTTTTAAAGATAATTGCTTCGTAGTATAGTATAATACTCTGATACAGGCTAATTTTATGTTAAATGTTGTACATAGGCTAAGTATAACTTGGAAGAATGATTTCGCTGAAAAGTTTTTCTATTTTAACTTTTCTTTCTTCCTCTTATTTTTAAGGATTCCTGGATGAGGTTATGAAGAAGTATGGCAGTTTGGTCCCACTCAGTGAAAAAGATGTCCTTGGGCGACTAAAAGATGTCTTTAATGAAGACTTTTCTAATAGGTTTGTCAGTAATGAGAAGTTAAAATCCTTGACAAGATTGTTGGCAAAAAATAAGATTGTTGGCATATGTGATTTTTTTCTTTTGCTATAACAAGTTACTTAGCAATAAAGTAGGTAAAACTTAAGTTTCCTAAAATTATTCTGAAATCTTTCTGTTTCAGAAAACCATTTATCAATAGAGAAATAACAAACTATCGAGCCAGGCATCAAAAATGCAACTTCCGTGTTTTTTATAACAAGCACATGCTGGACGTGGATGACCTGGCCACCCTGGATGGTCAGAATTGGTTGAATGACCAGGTTAGTTTTTGTAGGTTTTAAAAAGTTAGTTTCAACAATAGATTATAGAAAAGCTGCAGAGAATATTGAACACTAAAGTGTAATAAATGAGCTCAGAATTGGCCTCACACTGTCTTCTAGAATAAAATATTCTTTATTATTTACTGTTTTCTTTACTATCCGTAGATGCTAAGGGTTTAGTGACTGTTAATGGTAGCAAAATGTTACTCATTGTGGCTGTGCAGTTCTTGGTTGCATGAAGTTGTAAATGTTTTGTTTTTTAAATTTTTTTAAGTTGTTTTATGTTGGTTTTATAGGTCATTAATATGTATGGTGAACTGATAATGGATGCAGTGCCAGACAAAGTAAGTGAAAACTTACTCTTTTTCAAGAGAGTGGAGTCCTTGTGTACTAAACCCACTACCCACCAGTACTGAGTCACTTCCAAGCCTCTGACTCTTCACTTGGCTTTCAAGGCTGTAAATCCTTGTGGGGTAGATTGTCCATTATTCTTCCTTAGAAGCAGTTCTTGGATTAGAACCACTAACTGTTTGGTTAGTAGCACAACATGTTAACACTGTGCCACCAGGGCTCTTTTGTATAATTTTAAAAATTAGTGTAATAAAAGGAGAGATTTTTTTAAATGTAATTATCTGATATTCCTCAGATTTTTTTTAAAAAGGATTAGAATTCTCATTTGTTAGGACTGAGCGTAAGTTTATTTCACCAAATCACTTCTGTGTAGGAAGTGCGCAGCAGTAAGGGTTTCCTGCTTGCTTGTTTCAGGGTGAGTGTTTTTTGGGTTATCCTTCCCCTTTCTTTGGTAGGAAGATGGACAAAAGGGACTATTTTTATTAAACTTTCAAATTCAACTTAGTCTTACTTTCTTTAAAAGTCTGATAAAATAGTATTCATCTTCACTTTTCTCTTAGATTAATCTTTGATAGTCACATCAGTACACTGTCAACTTCCTTAAGCTCTAAGTTTTCTTAAGTCCTTAATTATATATTTAAACTATGTTTTGTAAATTTAATGTTAATATTTCTCTCCAAGTTTTCCAGTGCTTTATTTGGCATCTTTTGTTTTCAACAGGCAAATTCTTTCCAGCTACTAGCTCATTGTCATTAAGTCAGAACTAACACTTAGCAGACCCTCCAGTGCGTATCCAAAGCCAAAATTGCTTGGGAGGAAATTGCCCATCTTTCTCATGCAGATCCTCAGGTAGATTCAAACCACCAGAGAATCTGTGGATTAGGAGCATAACTCCCTACAGACTACACCACCAGCATTCCCGAATACTTTATTAAGTCTAATACTCTATAAGACTCAGAAATTAAACATAAATATTGTGAGTCTTAGGATTTCTCCAGCATTCCAGTACTTTTTAAGGAATATAGACAAAATATTTTAGAACTTTCTACTACAAATTACAAATGTATTCTGCATTTTGAATAGGAATCATTCAGGCAAATCTGTCAGATCCTCAAATATGTCAGAATCTCCTAATCAGAAAGTTTAAATAGAAATAAATGCAGAATATTTTAATGCATAAATATTAATTCATTACCTCTACATTTAGTTATAAACCTTCATGGGGTTGAAGGACACTTAGCCACTAACTGGTTCTCAGAGAAATGGCTTAGACCAGCAGTATCTACATCATCTGGGAACATAATAGAAAAGGAGAATATCAAACTCTATCCGGACCTTATAAATCAAAAGGTGGAGGTGGAGCTCAGCAATGTGTGTTTTCACAAGCCCCCAGGGAATCATTGATCTCGAGACAACTAGAAGATTTATGAAGCTACTGATTCTCAAACAAAGTATGATGGAATCGTCTGGAAAGCTTATAGAACCAGATTGCAGAATTTCAATCTCATCATTTTTAAATTTTTTTAAATTGATTTGCCTACAGTCATTTATGTATATTGTGTTTCATTAATGTACATTGTGTTTTATGCAGTTTTTCATTTACATTGTGTTTCATGTTTCATTCATACACATTGATTTTTCTATGGTTAATTTCTCTTGAACAATGCCTATTATTACCTCATCTTTTGTAGTCCCCAGTGAATCTGTCCTATTCCTTCATTCCCCGCCATTTGCCCACTAACCTCTGCTATCTTAGTGATTTCCACCCCACCCCCTTTCCCATTCCCTTTTTGAAGATTTTTACTCAGTTTTCCTTCTGTTTTAATAGTAATGGTCTTATGAAGTATTTTTCCTTATGAGACAGTTATTTTAATCAGCATAATGATTTCTAGCCTCTCCCATATTATATAGTATTTTAAGAAATTGTTCTTCCTTAGTGCTACACAATATTCCATTGTGTGAATGTACCACAGTTTCTCAATCTGTTTGTTGATGTAAATTTGTGCTGTTTCAGTTCTCTTGCTATTGTATCACTGCTGTGAACATAGGTGTATGTATCTCTTTTTCTGTCTCAGTTTTAACTTCTTTTGGGGGTATTTTCCTAGCATTGGAATAGTTGGGTCATATGGGATTTCTATGTTCAGCTTTTTGAGGAAGCACCAAACTACTTTCTAGAGTGGTTGTACCATATTATAATCCTGCAAACAGTGCATGTGAGTTACAATCTCTTTGTACTCTCTCTAACATTTATTTCTTGCTGTTTTGTTAAATTTTGCTACTCATTCTCACCATTTCTGATTGGTGGTGGTTGTGTACCATTGAGCGGATTGTTTACAGCTCATAATCCTATGGCACAGAGTAGACTTGCTCCATGCTAGTACTGTGAACAAAAGGTCTGAACTCTGCCCTATCCTATGCCATCCTCATCATCTCTGTCATACTCTAATACGTTGTTATAATCACTGTGTCAGTCCATCTTGTTGAATGTCTTCCTGTCTTTCAGCGACCTTTCCAAGCATGATGTCTTTTTCTAAGAACTAGCCCCTCCTAACAACATGCGTGTGGAACGAAGTTTCACCTTCCTTTCCTCTAAAGCATTCTGGTTGCACCTTCTCCAAGACATTGGTCTTTTGGAGTTCATTGGTGTTCAGTACTCTTGTCTAACAACACAACTGAGAGACATCAGTTCTTCTTCTGTTGACTAACTTTTAGATTCATTGTCTAACTTTTAGATGCTTAGCAAGTAATTGAAAAGACAGTGGCATGGATCATGTGTATTTTAGTCTTTGAACTGATTTTTCCAATGCAACTTGTCTTTTGATTTCTTGACTGCTGGTACAAAAGGTACAGATTGTGGGTGGATCCAAGTAGGATGAAATCATTGACAGTTTCTATCTTGTCTCCATCTATCATGTTGTCTGTTGGCCCAGTGGTGAGGATTTTTGTTTTCTTCATGTTGAGATGTAATCCATTTTGAAGGCTGTTGTCTTTTACCTTCAGCAGCAAGCTTTTCAAGTCCTCTTAACTTTCAACAAGTTAAGTTGTGACATCTGCATAATGCAGATTGTTGCTAAGTCACCCTCCCATCCTGAAGCCACATTCTTCTTAAAGTCTAGCTTCCCAAATGATTTGCTCAGCATACAGATTGAATCTGTATGGAAAAAGGAGATAGCCCTAACACACCCCCCCTTTCTTGATTTTGAATCAAGCAGTATTCCTTTGCTCTGTTCAGACAACAGAATTGCCTCATATAGCTTCCTAAACGATAATGTGTCCAGAACCAAACTGCCACATCTTTCGCCTGAGATGTGGCTTCAAACCACCAGCCTGGATTCAACCCTTGGTTTAGATTAGGGCCTGAGAATTTGCATTTCTGACAAGTTCCCAGGTAATACTGATCTGCTGACCATAATTTGAGAAGTACAGTACTGGGGGAACACTTTCATCATCTCACATGAGTCCAAGTTACTTAGTGAACTCTTTAAAATCACAATTTTTATTAGGTGAGTTGGTATTTATAAACTAGAATTTTGAAGTCAGGATGCAGGACCTACGTGCAACTCCATGTGGTCTTTTGGTGCTAGAAATTATCATGTTGATCTTGTTTAATAATTACTATGGCAACAAGAATCTGTATATCCTCTAAAAGGGCTTAGTTTTGCAATGTATAACTTTTAAGTTCAAGGTAATCATCTCAATTTTTTCCTTGTTCCTTTCAACTTTGTCATCTAATTTAGAGAGATTTGTCTAATTGATTAGATTCATATAGTGTACGTACTTGGTTATAATTCTAATTAGCATAGCTAGAGTGCTACTCTAATGAAAATTTTTAATGAAATCTCTGAAAACTACTTAATATATTTTCTGTATTTTGATCTTTGTCTTAAAGAAGAAACTTTTTCTTTTCTTTTTGTGTGTTCTATTTTCAAGTATTTTAAAATTTCCATTCTCTGGTGCAACCACTTTGGAAAATGGTATGGCGCTTTCTCAAAAAGTTGCAAATAGAGATACCACTTGACCCAGCAATTCCACTACTGGGAATATATCCTAAAGAGACCAAAAATGACATCCAAGCAAATATATGCACACCCATGTTTATTGCAGCTTTGTTCACAATAGCAAGGAGTTGGAAACAACCTAAGTGCCCATCAACAAACGAATGATAGAGAAGTTGTGGTATATTCACACAATGGAATACTACGCTGCATTGATAAACAAGGAACTCATACAGTATTATTCCAGATGGGTCACCCTGGAGGACATTATGCTGAGTGAAGTATCTCAGTCACAAAAGGACAAATACTGCATGGTGCCACTGTTGTAAAACAGGACTGACCTTGGGTTTGGGGAGAGACTGAGAAAGATGGGTTAAATAATGTATACTGCATTGAAACAGATGAGGGAGAAAACTGTTTGAAAGGGATATGTGATTAGGTATTTTTGTCATGACAGGAGTCTAGAGCAAAGGCTGCATAGTGGAGTGGACCTGGGGGAGGGTTTGTAAAACAATGAAATAATTTTCTTTTTACTTTTCCAAGAAGGTAGTGTTCTGGGGGGGGAGGGTTGGGAGGCGATAAATGTGCAACAATGAATGGAAATCCAAAGTCTCTGTAAATTTTTACTGAAATTAATAATAAATTTAAATTAAAAAAAAAATTCCATTCTCTTTTGAAGTTAAGTCTGGGTGCAGCTTAATATTATTTGGTTGTTTGTGTCTCTTCTAGGTTCACTTCTTCAACAGTTTTTTTCATAGACAGCTTGTAACCAAAGGATATAATGGTGTAAAAAGATGGACTAAAAAGGTATCTTGTTTTTGAACTGTTTAAAATGCAGATAATATGCCACTTGGGGTGGGTGGGAAGATAGGAACTTTAAAACCAATATAATGTTAATTAGAAGCAGACTTTTTAATGTGACAATTTGTTTTTAATATATTAGTTGTTTCTTTTAAATAGATTGAGTTTATGCAGTTGATTGGAATGTACTGTAACTGAAAACACTCGGCTTTTTATATATATGTATAAATGTTTATTCAACAGATTGCTGATAGTGGTAAAAATGTGAAAACAACTTAAAATATTAAGTATATGGATACATTGATCTTATGGAATAATGTTTCTAAAATAATTATGGATAGAACTTTGTGTAAAATAAAATAATACATTCCCATTTTTAAATTTATTTTTTCCTGTTACCCCTCAAAGTCTAATGAAATTAAAAGTCTGATTGGTGGAAACCCTAAGACTCTGGCCCTTAATCCCCCTTTGAGTCTGGAACTTAACTAAACCCTGTCTAAACTTTTAGCCAAACAGTAGATGGGCCTGTAAGGTGAACTGTAACACCAGGGAAGTAAGTATGCATCTCTTAGAATAACCAGCTGGACTAGATCAAAACGGTAGCATTTTCCCAAGGATAAAACTCTGAAGGCAGAAAGGGAAAAGATAGAAGCATGAGTGGGAATAAGAATTCAAGGACAAGGAGAGAAAAGTGCTATTACAATATGGAGGTTATAATTAATGTCGTAAAACAAAATATGTGTGAATGATTGACTGGAAACCAGTCTATTCTGTGCACATTCCCTAAATCACAGTAAAAAAGTTAAGTGAAAACACGAGTGCCCACCCCAGATCTTTCTCTCACACTTAAAGTTCATAGGAGCATAACAGCCTTAGATAAAAATGTCCTCTTTAAAAGTTGCATGTATAGAAAAATTCATCGTGAGTATTATGCAAAAGTCGGGAACGAAAAATGACAAGACAGCTGAAAATGACAAATTAGATAAGATTCTGTTGGAGAATACAAAGCATAAGTTGAAATTGCTCTGTATTGGTGAGACCTACGTTTTGTAATTGGTTACAAAGGAAATGATTTAGAGAGAATAGAATTTGAAAAATAATTCAAAGAAGTCATAAAGCACCATAATAGGTTTAACAGGAAGCTGGTACAATTAAAGAAAGAAATTACAGCATTGTAAGTTTCTCCATTTGGTTTTTTGCTTAATATAGTTTAGGTCCTTGTTGGTCCATATATGTTACTGTCATGTACCATTGAGTCGAAACCAACCCATTTCTAACCTTTCAGCAGATTTTTTCAGAGACAGTACATCCCCTGAGAGGAGATTGCCCATCTTTCTCCTGGATAATAGCCAGTAAATTCAAACTGCATACCGTTGCATCAGCAGCATCATTCCTTACCACTAAGCCACCAGAGTTCACTGGGGTGTGTTGTGTGTGTGTGTGTGTGTGTGTGTGTGTGTGTGTGTGTGTGTATGGTTATGTACCATCCAGTTGGAACCAACTCATAGCTGACCCTCCAGCAGGAGACTGTCCATCTTTATCCCATAGGGCAACTGGTGGATTTGAACCCAGCAGAGCACGTGTGCATGTGTGTATAGAACTGTTTGGTCTCATATTTATTGAAAATGTGGGTGCATAAAACCTACACATACTCCGTGGGAAGTGGTGGGACTGTGACGTACTTTTAAACTTGAAACGGTAGTATGTCAGTCAGCTTGACACAGTGTGATGCTAATGAACGTGCACTGCCAGCACGGGTGTGGCTCCTTAGAGACCCAGCTTGCTGCTTCTCCAGTGTCCCGTCTTGGACTTGTACCTCATTGTAGTACCAGTTTTCATTCTAATGCACTGAGGAATGGTACAGTTCGGCTTTTGTTGCTTGTCCAGGAACCTCTTGATCCTTGAAAACAAAACAGGGCCACACCAAAATGATTTTTTTTTTGAACGTTTGACCCTTACATCATTATAAAATACCCTTTTTTGTCTCTAGTAATGACTTTTGTCTTAATGTTTATTTTGTGTGATATTAACATAATCACTCTGGGTTCGTTTGGTGTCCTGAATAAACTTTACTCAAGAAAATTAGGATCTGCCTTATGGAGGAAATACGTGGGTTAAATGAACTTTGTTCAGAGAGAAGTTATAGTGAAGTTGGCACATTCTTAATTATACTAGCTCCATTTCAAGTGTAAGTAGTCACATGTGACAGCACAGATCAAGAATATCCCATCATTGGGGAGCTCTGGTGGCCTAGTGGCAAGAAGCTGCACTGCAATCCCAGAGATACGCGGTTTGAATCCACCAGATGCTCTGCCGGAGAAGGAGGGGCAATCTCCTCCTGTACCAGTCAGATCCAGTTTGATGGTACACACACACACACACATGCACACACACACACACACACAAAATAGTAAAAATTTAAAAAAATAATGACAAAAATAAGATATCTACTAATAAAGCTAATATCAAATGCCATGTGATGGCACTACTCAGGGAGCAACGAGTTAGAGTGGCTGTGGGATGGGTTTGAGGAAGCTGTATGAAGAGTGAGAATCTGGGAGGTTTCTCTTCAACTTCAAATTGATATTCCACCCCCTAGCTGAGGCTTCCCACAATTTTTACCTGTTTCATGTTTCATCGGCCTATTGAGAAAAAGGGAAATTATATGTTCCAAAGGTCATCTGATGACTTCTCTGACATTTGCATTTCTGTATGCCCCGTACTTTTAAAAATGAAGAATTTATGTGAATGCACCTCAGCTCTTGCCTTTCAGGTACTCTAATTGTGACAGAACAGGTGCATATATGTAATTGAGTTGAGTAAGACGCAAAAGTCAGAGAAATAAAATTATGTTCAGGTGAGTGAGAGAGAGAGAGAGAGAGAGAGAGAGTGTGTGTGTGTGTGTGAGAGAGAGAGAGAGAGAGACAGACAGACAGTGAGACAGAGATGGAGAGAACAGGAATTTAAAGGATACAGAAGCCAAGCAAGCCGGGTGGTGCCTGGAGAGACAGTGATAGAGTAGAAGCTGTCTGCACAGTTCAGTTAGCTGAGTATTAAGATCATATCATGAAACATCTTACATACCCGAGGAGCTTGGAGGCCAGAGATTGCCAACATTTAAGGTATCTTGGAGTTGTAAGACGTCTCTAGATGGAATGCTGTTTTTGAGATTAACTGTAGATCTAATGTGATTAATAGAGCATGAGTTTATTTAAAAATCAAATTTATAGTGTTTTCCTTTTGGCGCTTGTTTTATAATCGTGAGCATCACAAAAATCATTGCTAAATTAACAACAAAAAGGTGGAGGTCGGAATGTTCCAGAAGTTCATTCCGTCAAACTACTCCATCATTTTTACAATATACTCTTCCTCTTTCTCCTCCCGACCTCAAACCTCCCATCTGTACTTTTTTTGGACTTGGCAATTTGCTGGAAGGTCCTCAAGAAGCTCACACAGTTGTTGATGACATCAGGCAACTAGCTCAAGTCAGGAGGCTGTCCCCAGCAAGTGGAGAGGGAAAATCCCAGGTCAGAGTCTTCTTTTATGGGAGCATCTAGGTATAGACCGTGACCCCAGGGTATGGCAGTGTGGGCCATGCCTTATTCCAGCCTTTGTTTGTTTGTGTATTGTCAAATTGGAAACCATAGCTGGCCCTCCAGTGCCTTTTCAGAGGCAGTAATTTGCAAGGGAGGAGCAGCTGGTAGATTCAAACCATGTCCCTTTGTGCTTGCAGCACAATTCCTTACCACTAAGCCACCAGAACTCTAGCCTTTAGCAAGTCTTTAATCAAAGCAGTAATTCCCTTTTGTCCACCAAGTATCCTATATATTGTTTCGAGTTAACCACCTGAGTAGGCTGAGGTAATTCTAAGCTTTCCATTTAGCATGTCTAGTCAACACAATTCTGATGCTTCCCATTTAGCTTGTCTACTTGCCTCAGGGCAGACTTAAAAATATTGTAAAACTCTCAGTTTTACAATATCTGGTAGATAAAAAGTGTTCCCTAATGAGACAAAATATCCATATTTTGATCAACTACCAAGGCTTTTAGTAAGGTGGAGCCTCAAGATATCAAGGGATAGAAAAGCCGTTTGGAAAAGTAAACCGTTGACACCACAGCACTTAATATGTTATTTTTTCCGTACAGATTTAAAATATCACCTTAAAAGCCAGACAAACAAATGAAAAAGGTACTTTGCGGTAAAAGAAACACAGGGAAGGGAAGTTTGCAAAGTAGCTATTTATAGGGTCCAAATAATACCTGAACCGTTGGCTACCAAGTTGATAAATTGGTAGTTCCTCTTTTCCACATCCTTTGTCTAGGGTAGAAAATTATAATTGGAGAGTGGGAGAATACTGTGAAAACCATATTAAGTATTAGAATTTTATCTTTGGAAAATGGTTAATATGTTTTTACAGTGTAAGTTGTAGGCAAACAAAATAGCTAAACCATGGCTGGTGAATTGAGTCATCTTTAATATTGTATTCTAGATATTATTTAAATAGTTTTAATTATTTAGAGTTGTTACGGTAGGAAGAAATAGTTTTCTGTTCTTTTCTTCTGCCTATCTCACTCCCATGTTTATGGATGGAGAAACTAACAGTCAAGTGTGAAAATTCTCTTTGCTCCAAGCTCACAATAGACAAGAAGATTCCTCTAGATCAGAACATTAACTAACAGAAAGCAAAAAAGAAAGCATAAGAAATTAGTTGGGAAAAAACTTGATGTAGTTTAAATAGTCTTTATTCTTGTTTTAACCTGGGGAGTCACTAATGTCCTCTCAAAAAGAAAACAAAACAACAAAATTCACTTAACTTATGTACAAATGTTTATTGAGTACCTACTCTATTATTCCATCTACAAATGAAATTTTAAGTGGAGTAGCAAGTATTTCCTTATTGTAAAATTATTGTACATCTTAGAATAGAGAGAATATATTGGAATTATTAAAACCCATGAAGAATGGAAAGTATTATCAAGGATTTTTTTTTTTTCAGTTTCAGCATCTGGGAGACCTGAATGGGCAATAATGATAGTTGTTAGGATTTATTTAGTTATGATTTATAATGTGCTTATCGCCACAGTTCTGTGCATGCTCATGTATCTGTTTTCACTACAAATTTATAAGGTAGGCACTCTTGTTATCTGCATGTTCTAGTTGAGAAATAAAGGCACAAAGAGGCTAAGAAAAATGCCAAGACCTCTGGCTGATATGTGGAAGAGCTAGAGTTTGAACGTGGGAGTCTTCAGAGCTCATGATCTTACTTTACTAAACCTGTAGAACAGTAACAGTATTAGTGTTCAGCTAATGAGAGTTGAACAAGATGATATAAAGACAACTTAGAAAATTGGTAAATTTGCTGAAGCTTAATGCTGTTCCTAATACCAAAATTTGTTCCTAATCAAGAGTGGAGGCATTTATTATATTAGCTCAACTATGTAGATAGGAAAATTCATTTTATAGTAACATGGTTCAGGTCACATTAGACAATTGATAAGGGCAGGTTTAATAGTTTAAATGAAAACTGAAACTTTCTGAATCTTCTGTTTTCTTATTGTTGAGTATTATAGGTCACTCTCGTGGCCTAGTGGTAAGAACCTGTGCTCCAATCCCAAAGGCATGTGGTTTGAATCCACCAGCTGCTCCCTGGGAGAAGGATGGACAGTCTCCTCTCATGAGATTTACTGTCTCTGAAAACCCACTGGAGGGTCAGCTATGGGTTGGTGGCACATGACAACAACAGTTAAAAACATAGGCTTTAGACCAGACTTGGATTCAAATGCTGGCTTTGTGCATTCCAGCTTTATAACCTTGGCTGGGTCAAAGATCCTATGGAATGGAAGCTGCTGCTTAATGTTGTTGGTTTGATAGCCTCTAGTGATTACATTTCTTTCTGATTTTTTTTATCAGGTGGATTTGTTTAAAAAGAGTCTTCTGTTGATTCCTATTCACCTGGAAGTCCATTGGTCTCTGATTACTGTGACACTGTCTAATCGAATTATTTCGTTTTATGATTCCCAAGGCATTCATTTTAAGTTTTGTGTAGAGGTAAGTTGATATGTTGCTGAGTTTGCCTCCTCCCCTGTTTACCTTGTAGTTAACCAAGTATCATCTTAGTTCTACAAAGAGCAGCAGAAATTCATACTACAAATAACAGTTTCTATCATGAAAACCAAACCTAAAACTGTTGGCAGAGAAAAGGGCTGCAGAGTAATCCTCCAGAAGCAGAGAGGAGTTGTCTAAGATCTCGATCCCTCTGGGATACAAGAGTTTGGTGCTTGCTTGCTTTGTTGTTGTTTATCCCTAAAACATTTTGTTGTTTATTCTAAAAATCTTGGATGTGGACAGAAATTATTTCCTTTGGTCTTTCTTAAAGCTAAATTGACTTAAATCTCCAAAATAAGTTTTGAAGAATAAACTATAACCCATGAGAATCAATTAGAAAAATATTAGTGTTCAACTAATAAAAGATGGACAAGATGATTTGATATAAAGACAACATAGAAAAATTGGTAAATTTCCAATTTTTCCTGCCCTAGCAAAAAACCTATTTGAAAGTGAATTTCCTTTCAAAAAGCAGCAAAAACCCAAGAATACACCTTTAGAAGATACAGAAAAGTTCTTTATAATCAAAACTCAAATGTTTTATTTAAGTATTTGAAGGAAGTTTGAATAGGTGTACTTTGAATACTTTCATAAGTAAAGCTGTATTTGTATTGGCTTAAATCCACTACCTCTGAGTCTATTCTGACTGGCTTAAACTTGCTGCCTTTGAGTCCATTCTGCCATCAGTTTTCCAAAGCTGTAAATCATTGTGGAAGCAGATGGCCACCTTCTCCTATACAGTGGCTGGTGAATTTCAACTACTTGACCTTTTGGTTAAGTGCATCACGCAGTCCATGATGCCACCAGAACCTCCTTTGTATTAACTTAGGAATAGTCACGTGTATGACTGAATTCCAGATGGAATAAAGAACTAGATATAAAACCCAAAACGTCAAAGTATGAGAAAAAAATTAATAACAACCTCCAAAAATCCCTGCATTGCCATCCAGTCGATTCCTACTTACAACAGCCCTTGTCAGGTTTCTGAGATTGTCTGTCTTTCCAGGAAGAAGCTGCTCATCTTTCTCCCAGTGATTCGCTAGTGGATTCTAACTGCTCACTTTTGCTTAGCAGCCCCACATGGAATGTCCCGCACCAGATGCTCTGTTCACTGGCGAAGGAAGGCTCACTCGCCTAACACTCCAGAAAGAAATGACACAAAGAAACAGATTGGTAGTTTTGACCATATCTTAATTAAAAACTTCTGTGTATCATGAAGTTAAAAGACAAGGGACAGACTTAGTGAGAGTTCTGGTGGCCTAGTGGATAAGGAGTTGTGCTGCCAACCCAAATGCAGGTGGTTTGAATCCACCAGTTGCTCCTCAGAGACAGATTGGCAGTCTCTGAAAACCTACTGGAGGATCAATTATGAATCAGTTCTGACTTGATGACAATGAGGATATATAGACAGATGATTATTATCCGGAATAAATTTTTCTAAAACAAACTTCTTACAAATGTGTAAGTAAAAAAAGACCACTTGAAATGGACTAAAGAATAAGTAACTTTTCTTTGGGGAAAATTCAGATAACCATTAAATACATGGAATGATGCTCAGCCTTATCAGAAATAAGGGAAATGCAAATTAAATGCCTTTGAGTTGTGGTGCTGGAAGAGTATTGAACTTACCATGGACTGCCAAGAAAACAAAGAAGTCTATCTTAGAGAGGGTGAAACCAGATTGCTTCTTGGAGGCAAAAAGTTTGAAGCTTCATCTCACATACTTTGGGTAGTTTTCCAGAAGAGGCCAGTTCTTGGAGAAGGACATCATGCTAGAAAGGGACAGTGCCGGAGAAGAAGAACGAGAAGAAGAACCTGGATGAGATGAATTGACGCAGTTAACTGAAGTAATGTGGGCAAGTGTGTTGGAGACTGTGAGACTGGTTCAGGATAGAGAAGGGTTAAGAGGTATTATTTATAAGGTCACTATGAGTTGTAGATGACTCAGGGGCACATAACAGCAACAACAAACGAAACTACACCACACTCCATTTTGGCCTACTTAAAAGTTTGATGCTATACAAGTGTTTGTGTGGGTGTAAAGGAAGAGACACTCTCTTATCCCCTGATGGGGTTATGAATTGATAGGGACCCTTAACAGTGAACAGTTGGAATTCTTATCAATTCTAACTGCCTTGTAAATTAGGGTGTGTATCCTATTGAGTGCTAACCCATTTTCTTGTCTCTTGTTAAGTGCTGTCGAATCCAACTCATAGCGACCCTATAAACAACAGGTCTGAACCTGGTCTGCTCCATCCTCACCATCCCAGCACACTTGAGCCCATTGACACAGACACTGTATCAGTCCATGTCATTGAGGATATCAGTCCAATCTATCAATCTCTCTGTTCCAGAAAAATACTTATGTATGTCTGCATAGATGAAACATGTACCATGATGTTCACAGCAGCATTGTTTATAATAGTGAAAAATTGAAAACAACCTTAATGTAGTTCTTGCAAGAGGATAGCCATATCTTAGTATATTTAGTCTATTAAACTGACCACAGCAGTTAAAGTGAATGTGCTAAATCACTCTATCCTAACATGGAAAGTTTTCTAAGGTTTGTAGAATTTTAAAAGCAAACTGTGGCATGATGTAGCTACATGGGGAAAAATACATGTATACCTTCGTGTGTGTGTGTGTGTGTGTGTGTGTAAAATGTGTATGTGAATATAATTGCAACACAGTATATACAGGGAGCTCTGGTGGTCTAGTGGCAAGAAGCTGCGCTGCAATGCTGAAGGCATGCAGTTCGAGGCCACCAGCTGCTCCATGGGAGAAGGATGGGCAGTCTCCTTCTGTGCGATTAACTGCCTCTGAAAACCCATGGAAGGGTCAGTTACGGGTCGGTTCCAACCCGACGGTAAAACAACAGTGTATATTTGCATGTATATATAGTACACATCTGCATATATGTATATGCATAACTAAATAGGAAAAGACCAGTTGCAAGCTCGTACTTTTTATGTCATTGATTATCTTTAGGTAAATGAGGAAAAGAGTGAGACCAAGTTAGCCTTGTTAGTGATATTTTAATTTTTTTATAAGGAAAATACATTCATATATTACATGTAGAATTAAAATTTAATATAAGAAACAAACTATAAAGAACAACTGTTGTAAAAATAGTAAAATTTTTACAGTCTAAGTTTTTGGTTCTGAGAAATCTAGGAGAAACCAAGCAACCAATGAAGTGTGCTGCTGGAACGAATTCCAGCCCGGGAGAGTTAGTAGCTTGTCAGCTGTGAGCTCGGTGGTTCCCTTCTCTCAAATCCCTTGCTCATTCACCTTTCAGTCAACATGTCTCCGCAGTTGCCAGGACTTTTTGATATTTTCTTTTCTCTAGAAAAATTTTAAGAGATATAAACAATATAGCCATACATTGCCTTTAAAGAATCAGATTTCTCACAGGCAAAGGGGTTTAAAGATGTCAGGAAAATTGTTCCATCCAGGAAATATTACACAGTCCCTCCATGCCAAGCACAGTGCTGGATGCTAGAGCGTCAGTGACACTTTTTTTTGATGGAGCAAATGGCTATTAAACAACAGTTTGTTTTCTAACCCAATTCTGGATTGTTTAGGGCTTGATTCTATGTGATCACTGAAAAATTAATCTTTTGAATTTTTTCCCCAAGCTCCAAGGAGTTCTAGTGGCTTAGCGGTAAGGAGTTGCACTGCCAGCTCAACGGCAGGTGGTTGGACTGAGGAAAAATGATGGGCATTCTCCTCCTATGCAGTTTACAGCCTCTGAAATCCACTAGGGGGCAGCTATGTGTTGATTCAGAGTTGATGGCAGTGCATTTGAGTTTTCTCCTCCAAAGAGTCCTCTTTACCTTTTTAGCAATTGGTGTGATTATTTTGTGCATTTAATGCAAAGAAATCCCAAGAGTGGATTTGTTTTTGACAATAACTATAAGTCATTAAGGACTAAAGGCAGCCATCCAGCCAGGTGGGCTCGGCTGTGTTTTGTTTTAAGGGATGTAGAGGGAGTCATACAAGAGACTGTAAAGGAGTTGGGATTAGTATTTCCTAAGAGTTGGCCAGAAATGTTTTGAACAAATACTAGATAAGCATTAGGCTCCGTGAGAACAGGACAGCAACAGCTTGCTTTGTTACGGTGCCACCAGGTGACATGTTCTGGATCCCCAGTAGATTGTTTCTTCTGCTCGCTTTGTCAACACATATACTAAAATTGGAACAATGCAGAGAAGATTAGCATGCCTGTACTCAAATTCATGAAGCATTCCACATTTTTCTTGTTTTGAAAAAAATATGATATTTTATAATATTCACAGTAAGAGAACACACACTAAAGTTGCTTTTTAAAGCAGATGCTTAGTTACTGTCAATTAGGAGGTTCATTAAGCCTGTATCTGTATTTAGAATGTTTCTAATTAAGCTACATAAATAAGCTCTCTGAAAAAAATTTTTTTTATTTAAATAAAATTGCTTTTCACACTGGATCTTTCCCATTTCCTTTACCCACCCTTCCCTCCTCCCATCAAATTGTGCAACTCTATGATTAACCCTCTCTCCCGTCCTCACCCCTGAGTTCCTCCCCTCTCCCCTCCTTGGATCCTCCTACACGTTCTACAATAATGGTCTTATATAGTGTTTGTCTTTATGGGACAGAGTTAGTTCACTTACCATAGTCCCTCCCCCATTAAAGATTTATTGAATCTAGGTGATTTTTTAAAATGACAAGCCTCTTTTGACTATATTTATGAATGTACATAGAATTATTATCAGAAGGTAGTTGTTTGATTAGAGAAGAGTGCTATATAGTTACATCTTGTTAACTCTTAAGCATTTCCTTTCACCAAAAGATTTTGCTTCTCTTTCTCCTCTACCTTTGTGGAGAAAGGTAGTCCCTATTACCTCTGACTTCACCCTTGGTGAGGAGGGGATCTGTGCAAAGATCGAAGGGCATAAGGGGAACGATGGGACTCCAGCATGTCATCTTAATAGGGTTTTCAGCCATAGCTGTGACTCTATTCAGTCTCCAGAGGGCGTTTGAGTATAATTTTCTAGAAACTGAATGATACCTTTGCCAGCGTCCCTAAAAAATAAAGATTGTATCTGAGACTAAAATATTTTTCAATTCATTTTAGTTCTTGGTGATTTCTTCTGTTGATTTCTTCCCTATCTTGAGCTTTGGCAGTAATTACGTCTTTATTTTTGTCTTGCCAGTATTTGTTCTATTTGCATTTCATTGCAGCAAGTTAACTTATTGCTGGATAAGGCTGACCATCTTATAAAAAGTTCTAACTAAACAAACAATGTCCACAGTGTAAGTACAGGCCTGAGGGCAGAAGGGCTGAGTCCTCCTGAACAGTATGAAATAAGAGGCCTGAAATAAAGCTCCGGCTTTAAACCCTTAAATGCGTACTTTGCCCATTTATGTGGCCACAGCCTCTACCTTTGTGTCTGCTATGGGCAGGTTCCATTTTTCAACAACTAATGGAACACAGCATCTGTGTTGTGGTTTCTTTTTAACCAGAATATAAGAAAGTATCTGCTGACTGAAGCCAGAGAAAAAAATAGACCTGAGTTTCTTCAGGGTTGGCAGACTGCTGTTACAAAGGTAAGTATGTGATAAACATGAAAATCCAGGCATGTCAAAGGGCTGGAATGGTCCAAGGGGCGGGTGTCTTTAAGAATTGGTGACAAAGAGAGCAGTGGGGGCCTGGAGGCCTGACCACAAAGTTCATAATCCTAGTAGTCTGGATTTAGTAGCAGTTATCCGGCGGTTTCATTTTCCTAGTCCTTGCTGGGAACAAAGGACCTCCATCATTTCATCTCTGGGGCAGCTGCTAATGTGGCTGGCTGGCGATTTTGAAAATATCTTGGTGGCACTTATTTCTTGCCTCCTGGCTCTTATTTCCAGCTGGCTTTCAGAGACCTGGAGAAAGGCTGGAATCACTGGTTCCGCAAGGGGAGTTCCACTGTGTTCCAGGCAGCAGGGAAGGCTCTGTCTGGAGGCTTACTGGTTGGCCTGCAGGCGTTAAAGCTCTACTAGGGTCAGAGGGCCTTGTAGACACTCAGTTCTCTTCTAAATACCACTGACTTGACAATTTATTGTCCGTGCTTTCTAATTTTCAAGGTGCTTTTGCATATCTGATCTTACTTGATCCTCACAGCAGATCTGAGATATGTAGGCCAATTAAGGTTAGGCATCTTATTGATGAAAAAATGGAATTCAGGGTTGTTGTTGTTATGTGCCTTATAGTTGGAACCAAGGTTAGAAGCCCTCTTCTCAGGTCCCTGATCTCAGGCCTTTCTGTCTCATTGAATCACACTGAAGAGACAGGGGTTTGAAACAAGCTTTTAACCCAATCTCAGAGCAACAGATTTTTTTTTGCCTTGAACCAAATGCAGGTTTTGTTCTGAATAACATAGTGTACTAACTTTAAAGCTGAACTGAACTTGAAAATCTGAATTTACTTACCTGAATTACCCAAAGATTCCTCTGGAGTTGACTCAGGATGATTTATGGTCCAGTTTAGGCAGAACACTCTAACCAGTTCTTCTGAGAACATAGTGCTTACTCTCTGATCTTTTTCAGAGATCTGGACAGGTTTTTGTGTTAAGTGATAAAAATATGAAGACTACTAAGCAGGGATGTTACACTCTAAGTATTTAGAATCCAGGCCTACCTTCTGATCCACAATTCTGTTTTATTCCATTGTTAGTAGATTAATGTTGTTGTTGTTAAGTGCCGTCGAGTTGCAGGCGACTCATAGCGACCCTATGAAGGAAGAGTCCTCGACGCTTGGGTGCCTTTCATCCTCTCTCCAAGTTCATAGGATTTCTGGAGGCAAGCTATTATGGAAGTGGATGCCACTCCTTCCAAGAGTAGATTAATAACAAACTAATTATCCAAATGGAAGGTTTACAAACAAGATTTTATTTTTCTTCCCATTTCTTGTCCTTGGACAAAGTGTTGTTCTGTGAGTTGTAGTTGCCACTTGATAGCTCTTTCCGTGTGGAACACTTCCACAGAACTAGACATTTCAGATAATGAGATACCAGAGGTGTGTGCCAGCTGTAAGACATATACTTTCTCCTTGTGCACATTTCCCCATCAGACAGTCTTAGTTACAGAGGAGCACCCAGTCTTACTATAATGATAATTTTTTCCTTCCTCAGTGTATTCCACAACAGAAAAATGACAGTGACTGTGGAGTCTTTGTGCTCCAGGTAAGAAAATATCAGGGTTGGGTTTTTTGTGTGTTGTGGGAGTTTGTTGTTTTCTTCTTTTTTCTCTCACCCTGAATTTGCAGTGTGTGGACTGATTTTATTGGGTTTAGAGGGGAGAAAGGGAATCCCTATGATGTGTACCAATTTTACTGAGTACAGGCAGCAGAATATTTATTCTTCCTTCATGGCATTTTTAGATATTGGGTAGTATATATTTTATCAAAGATAAGCCAGGCTGGAGACTGGTCTGAACTTATCCATATCCTAAACTTTTTTGATTTAAAGATAATAGCAAAGAGTTTTATTAGAAAACATACATCCCAGAGAGTGAAATGGGTCATTTCTCTGTAAGTAAAGAGGTGGAAAAAAGACCCATATTCTAAACTTTTGACATTTACAGAATTAACTATTCTTTGTGTTTTGATTTAAAAAACAAAAACAAACCAAACTATTAGCAAGCAGTCTGTAGAATTTTGGCATAATGTAATTGAATTTTAAATAAGGTGATATTTGAAAACAGCTATCTCATGTTGAAGGTTTTCTTAAATGTCTAGAACTACTGAGAAATTTTAGTTATAGATTACATGTTGATGTAATTTATGAATATAAATACTTGCAAAATCTTAGGAGAGACATATTCATGTACCAAGCAGATGTAAGTTCTGACTCAGTGCTAGGTCTGCCTGCCTTCTCAGCTTGCTGTGCCTGAGGAAACCAGAGCCTCTCATAATCTTAGTGAGGGGGGGAAGACTGCACCCCTGCAGCAAGGTTGAGTATGGTGTGGAGGGACAGCTTTTAAAATAATGCCTATTCCAAGCTGGTCAAGTGTGGCCTTGGGCTCTGTTCCCTCTGCCTCTGGCAGAACCCCGGGCTGGCACAGCTCTCCATAAGCCACTTGTGTGTTTCTGGCCCTCTGCAGTACTGCAAGTGCCTCGCCCTAGAGCAGCCTTTCCAGTTTTCACAAGAAGACATGCCCCGCGTGCGCAAGAGGATTTACAAGGAGCTGTGCGAATGTCGGCTCATGGACTGAGACCCAGCACACACGCTTGGGGAGTCTGACCAAGTTGGAGCAGGTGGTTTGTTACTTGAATCTCCAAACACTTATTTGAATTTTTACAGATATTCAGATTGGTGGTATTGGACCACTATTGTTACCTCAAATTTATGTTTGCCCTTATTCATTTCTCCAGCTACCATGGACTATTTTTAATGTTCAGTTGGGTTTAATTTTTAATTTTATGGATTCTGCGCATCCCCCCACCCCATATTTAATATTTATTATCCAAACGCATGCAGGTAGAGCATGCAGTGCAGAGTATTAAACAAACAAACAAACAAAAAGCCTAGTATATTTGGTGCAGCTTAGTTAGAAGTGAACTGAATACAGGTTTAAAATTTAACCCGAGAACCTAAAAATGCAAGATCTGTTTTTGTTACATCGTAACTAAAAATGGTAGATGGGGGAAAGAGTAGCTAGGAGTTGTTTTGACAAAGCCAATTTTGTTTTGTTTTTACCAGCAGCACTTTTCATTGACTTCCTTCTCCAGGCATGTCTTGGAGGGGGAAACACATTCCCTCTCAGAGGGTCAGGTGGGTGTCATGCGTTGACTGGGCTGGTTCTGTTTATGGGGTCCCAGTTTTAAGAACAGGGCCTGTTTTGAGAAGAGTTAAGATATGAATGTTCTCTCATCTCTTCTGGGATAAACAAGATGTGTATGGCTTCAAAACAAAGCAAGACCAGATAGTGACAAAACCCGTCATTCCTGATGGGAAGCCTCCCATTTGTAATCCCTAGAAGATGCTGTTGCGAATACCCTGCTTTTTGTAGAAGAAAAAGACAGCAGTTTGGGAGCCTGTTATCTTATCAGCAAATGAGATATTCCAGTCTTGGTTTTAAGAACTGTAACAAATAACCTAGACCTTATAAAGGCTTTTACTTTTACTGGAATATTGAATGCCTTGAATTTTTCTGTTTTTGTCCTTTTAAGCTTAACATCAGTCAAACTAGTGGTCAAAAAAAATGGAGAATTCATTTATAGGAGTAAGTTTACAAACTGTCACTTCCCTTGTATTGCCTCTTTGTGGGCAAAATTGAAGGTTTACCAAATGCATTTCTAGTTTAAGGGCATTTAAAATACTAAAAAGTGAGTTTGTACAACTTTATATGTTGAAACCTGACATCAAGTCTTTTGTCAGTGGGTGGAAAAGAGAGGAGAGGGAAGGTATTGAAGATTTGGTTCCCTGGTGAAGCATTTAGGTTCTCCTCGTGGCTCCTGACCGACTGCATTGAGTGCAGGGTCCTCTGGAGGCTGTGAACTAGGCCGGACACTCCTTCCTTCACAGTTCTTTCCTCTGTAAATCTCATTTTCAGGGGAAAAGCAGAAGTGGCCCTGTCCCTACACTTCGCTGCATTAGGATTAAAGTAAAACGATGTTGCATCTTTAATCCGGCCTTTTGTAGTATATTTGAAAGGGAAAGAAATGTTGAGACATGCATGTTAAACCTATCTGGTTGATTTTTCTGAACTTGTAAACAACAAATGTGTATATAAGCAGCTCAGAAGGGTGTACAGAAAAATACCAAGTCAATGGTAGCAGATACTTGAATTTATGCCCAGTTAGGTGTGAGATGTTGAAAATAAAAACATGCCGTTTAATCTGACCGTAATATAGGGCTGAGAGGACAGCCTGCCCTGGTCAAAGGTTGAGTCAGAACATGTTTACCTGCAGGGTTTCCACCCTCAACATTCCAAGCACCAACACCAGTGTTTACATGAGAAATAGCCCCAGCACTTTCCTCCCCCGAGTCCTCCAGACTCAAGCAAACTCCTAGGTAGAAAACCAGGTCAGTATTGTATTGTGCTTCAAAGTCACTGAAAAGACTTTCTGAGATTAGAGGCACTTTATGCTGCTACAGGTAGAGTGCCAGCATTAGAAAATAGGACAATTTAAAGTGGAAAAGTGTCTTTGAAGTTTTTTGGACATTATTATGCAAAGATGAGGCTCTTCAAATGTGTATGCAAGACAGTGGTCTCTGGTAAGTTGTTTTGTGTGGGAGCAGGTGGGGGAGCTATACCAAAGTAGCCAATAATGAGGCTGCCAATTAAAAATGTCTTGTTTTGGAGCTCTAGATCTCTTCCTCACAGATAGGACCAGGTACACAGAAGAGAGTGGATCCTGTTCTGATGAGGATCTTAACTAAGGCCTATCTGAAAGTGGTCATCACAGCAGCACTGAGAACCGTGGAGAGAGCTTACTCTCTCACTCCAGTCTTTGTGGGGCCCTCTGAGGCGCACAGTCCAGCACGGTTTAGCTTAGATGTTGAATACATTAAGCCTGTTTAAAATGCTTCTCTGCTGTTCCTGAGACTTTTCAGCAGTCACTTCCCCACTCCTTGTCATTAGCTGTAGACTCCCAATTAGCCCAAGTCATAGAGTAGACTGTCCCAGCATTTGCAGTAATTGCTTCCTTGCCACAGTCCTTTTTGAAGTAGACCCTAGACTGCTGTTGATAAACAAGACAACCATTGCTTTACTATCACTAGCTTGGCATTGTGGTGGGTAGATCTTATGTTTTTGGGGTTGAGTGCAGGCCTTGTACAAACTAAAAGCTACTTAAGATGTGCCTTCAGCAAGCCGCCCAGTCCTGTCAGCAGGCTCCTCACTTACCAGGCGCATTACTTTCCAGCAATTCCCCCCCCCGCCCCCTCTATTAATGCAGATTGAGTTCAACTCTTAGTTCTCTCAAGAATCAGAGAAGCAACCTTCAGTAAACCTCTTAAAGAAACGGAAAGCAGCTGTTGCTGCCCGTGGTCCTCAAATGACTTTTTGGACTTTGCATTATCTTTTCAGCTTAGCAATGAATGTGAGTAACAGCTGGATTCATACTTGAGACAAAACAGTAACAGGCCTAACTGGGACACAACCAGCTTAGCCCATACAGAACTGGGGTGGGTCAAATCATTCAGGAGAGAAAGTATGTTAAGATTTTAGTCAGCAGTTATTAAGCATATACTTTGTTACATGCTTGGCTCTGCCTCCTGGCCTGTAGATAATTAAGAGGTCCTAGGAAATAAATACCACCAGAGAAGTGCTCATTAGCATTTGAGTGTTACAAAAACCGACCTACACAAGCTGTTCACATAAATGGTACCTGTTGGTCAGAAAAAGGAATTTATTTAAAAGTTGTTATCATGTAAAATTACAGTACTCAACCCTTCTAGCAAACTATTTTTTTGAAAATAAACTAAATGCCTTTATAAACGTGTGTTCTCTTGTGTTAAATAGCATGCTGTTTGGGGAGTCTGAGTTTCTTCAGTGGCATTCCTGTCATGGGCCAGTGTAAACCTGAACACAGCCTCCCTGTAGAGCACCCCTGCCCCATAGACAGTTCTGTGAGGACCCGATTGTATCCTCCATGTGTGAACACTGAGGAGTCACTAGTCTCAGGAACACGGTTTCATTTTTAAGGAGCCATACTGTGTGGCTGAGGTGGAAAGCAACTTTAATTAGCAAGTCTCAAGTTTTGAGTTTCTGCTAAACTCTTAAAATAGTAGTCAACTTTGAACAAAAGATACTTTAGCTAATAAAGTACAATTCAACCTCCTCCCTCCCCTCATCTGAAATAGATTCTTCATGGAAAACTGTAATTTCTTCCAGCAACAAAATAAAGAACATTCAGTTATTTGTTACGTTTTTACCATTTTCACAAGAATTGCCACTCTCTCCATAGGAGTCCATAGCTAGTGCCAACTATCATATTAAGATGGGCAGGAAAGTTCTGTACATTATTCATAGATTCCTCCCCAAACTCAATCACAGATATTTCAGACCAAGTGAGCTCCAACAGGCCTTTTTATAAGTAAAAGACAGGCACATGGCAAATTGGTCCAACTTTATTGCAAAGTGATCTGTCACAGAAAAAGGCTTTTCAAATAGAAACCACTTTTTGTGGGTGTGGGTTTTTTTCTTTTTTTGTGGTTTTAAGGTGGGAGGAGACAAAGGGAAAACATCAGTTCTTACAAAAGAATATAAACTTTACTGGCTCAAAGTACAGTGTAAAAAGAACTTGGAAAACTGAATAGCATTATCATTACTAAATTAACAGTCTCTTCTTAAGCTCTTACAAAAGTCACAGCGCTCTTAAAATTCAGATAACCAGTTTGAATTTATTGAGGAAAAACCTTGTTACTTACTAGAACATGAAAAAAGGATGTTCACATTATGGTACTTCAGCTCCAACATTTTAATACCACTGGAGGTTAGAAGATACTTTTGTTACAGAAAAGAAAAATTTCACTTTTATCTGGAATTCATGTGCCTTGGTGGGGTGAGGCGGAGAGACATCAATGGAAACTGGCTCATACAGGCATTTCCTGGAAAGCTTGCCTGCCTGTTGGTGTTAAGCAACATCTTAATCTTCAAACTCTTTTCAAACCTCCATTCCCAAGATTACTCTGAAAATAAATCTGACAGGGCTGACAGCAACCTGCATAACTTCTAGGCAGTGTTTTCACTCATGTCCTCTGGTGTTCTAGCCCATTTCCTACTGACAATTCCTCTCTTCAGAGGACTTGATGTTCTCCGTAACACAAAGCCTTGCTTTCTGTAATTACTGATAAAACATTTACATCTCTTTTTTAAAAAAAGTGTTTATTAAATCTCAAGTCCTGCACCAAATTTTCTGAAGGACACAAAGTGGAGAAGCAGATAGTGTTTTCTGAGACCAGCCAAGGCTTGGGTCTGTACCAACTATTTAGGAAGGTCCTCTGATCTCTGTTTACTTTGAGAGATTACATTGTAACAGATAACAATTCCAGTTGCCCAACATGTGTTCTTAATTTAGAACAATGTTACACAACATAGCAAAACTCCATTTATTAAATTTTGTCTTCCAAACTTTTTAAAAACTCCAAGTGCCAATGTAAATTATAAACCTGCTTACATTCAAACCTGGTAGAATAAATTTTAAAAATGTTTAGGCTTCCAAAAAAAAAAAATCATTTTGGCTGACAGACTACGTAATTAATACTATAGATCAAATTTGTCTTCAAGGAACACAATGTGTGGGCTCGTAACAGAAAACCATCCTTGAAACCTGACACGTGGCCAAGACTCTAAGGCTAAAATGATAGCCATTCTTTTGAATTCTGTCCTTTAATAATTTTCAAAGAGCAAATCCTTGGAGAAGTGTCTAGTTCAATGGAGACACTGATCAAAGCTTGGCGTAAGTGGGCTGGTGTGCAGACCTCAGGTATTTCTACACATTCAATAGGCCAAAGGAGTTGAATTTTCACTGGTGGGCTGGCTTCTGTGCCAGTTTCCCATAGCCTCCTCTCCCAGCATCATAATCCTGCCGATACTCATCTCGGACCTTAAATGAAGACACACATTAACAGGTTAGGGAAGACTAGTAACAAAGGCTTCTCATGTCAGATGTCAGACAAATAGCTAAACCTTCCAGATGTCAATGTGAACAATCAAATGGGACTTCAACTTCTTTTAGTAACTGACAATGATGCTTAATGGCCTTACAAAATTATCCCAAGAATGCAAGTGACATTTAAAAAAAAACAAAAACAAACCAATACCAGACAGCAGGCCTGAACATTCAGCAATGTTCAAAAATACACCAATGTTCACTACTCTTTTTACTAAAACCAGGGTATTTTTTAGAGTATTTGCATTAAACCCTTTAAAACTCAATTTTTATGCATTGTCCAAAACACTTTTGCAGGTTAAATGAAAAACACAACCCAAACAAAACCAAATCTATCCCTTGGTAGAAATTCAATCATTGCTTTGGAGAGTGTACAGAGTACATAGCAGGTCAGTGAAAAGGAGGAACACCTTCAAGATAGACACGATGACTGCAACAGTGGGTTTAAGAATGGCAGATACTGGACTGTCCTGCTTACCTGGCCCCCAGAGCGTCCCCGGCCATACTGTCTGCCCTCCTTAAAGCCTGCATCCCAGTCTGTGCGAATGATGCGGTCATCCAGGCGAGTTCCATTTATGTACCGCATGGCATTCTCTGCATCAACTCTCGAATAGTATCTTAGGTGCAAGTATTAAGGAAAGTGATGGAGCAATTTCCCCAAATGTTTTTGAAGATACAAGAAGTAATATGTAAATAAAGCTGAGGATTAAGAAAAAAGTATTCTCTTCGCCATGTGAAGGAGCCATCTCCACCTCTCATAGTTTGTTGGTTTTCTCTCCCCATGTCTTGTCTACCCTATGTGTTCCTTTACTTGTAACTCCCCAGGCAGCCTGGGAAAAGTGATTGGCTCAGGGTTTGACTGAGGGAAGATAAATAAATACTGTTAATAAGATAAAAAAAAAAAGTATAAAAACCAAACCAGATAGGAGTCCAAAGAAAACAAAAATTGGGCTTTCACAAGTCTGCTTCAAGACCAGGGGCACTTATAATACTGTATTTATAAATGGCTACCCTGAACCAAGTTTTTCCCTGGAGGCTAGGATTTTGAAGATCTGTCTCACGTACTTTGGGCACGTGGCCAGGAGGAACAGTTCCTTGGAGAAGGACATCATACTTGGAAGGGTGGAGGGCCAGCGCAGGAGAGAAGACCTTGGATGAGGTAGATTGATACATTAACTGGGTTAGGTGTCTTGGAGTCAGCGAAACTGGCTCAGGACAGGGCAGGCTTCAGAGCTGCTTTACATAGGGTTGCCATGAATCACAGGTGACTCAACTGCACATCACCACCACCACCTTGAACGTGACTTCCTGGACAGTCGTACTATCAGTTATATGATCCCACTGCCTCTACAGACCAAAAGTGCACCCAGTGCTATCCAAATCAGGATGATTGTGAGCTAGGACCCTGAGGTTTGGACAGGACCATGAAACATTTCATTATATTTTATATAACTTGTATACAACTCAATGGCAACTATTAATATTCAAGAACAATTATTAACAAAAGGTCTCAGTACAAATAAAATGGCCAGTACTTTTCATTAGAAGATTCAAAGTAGGGGAGCTCTGGTGGCCTAGTGGCAAGAAGCTGCACTGCAATCCCAGAGATACGCGGTTCGAATCCACCAAACGCTCTGCCGGAGAAGGGGGGGCCATCTCCTCCTGTACCAGTCAGATCCAATTTGACGGTACACATACACAGAAAATAATAATAAAAAAAAAAAAGAAGATGATTCAAAGTATCAGCTAGGTTAGTGCCCAAACCTACTGTACCAAGTCAACTAAATCTCTCTCTGGGGTTGCATTTTTAAAATCCCTACAAGATTACCAACCAGGTAACATGATCTAGATTTTTCTTCCCTCTCCCTTGTCTCTCTGGCATCTGCCATTGTGACTTGATCTTTGACTTACAAAGCAAGTGTGAAAGAACATTTTGATTTTTAAAACTATTTTATACCAAATCACAAAACTTTCACCCTTATGGTTTACTAGGTAGATTTTCCTAGCACATCCCCCACTGTCCAGTGTTCTCCCAGCCCCGGTGAACCTTCATGCTTTGGAAAGCAGAGGCAAAAACAAAATCTGGACAGTGTCTGCTCCCTGCATCTGGAAGGAGAACAGGAGCAGCTTGCTAAGCCCAGAGATAAGATAGCACAATCAACAGTGCATGCAGATTCCAGACACTCAACACATTTATCTCAAGACTGCCAAGAAAACAGGAGAAAGGAACATAATCCCTAAAGCTGGAAAACACCAGTCACAGACAGAGGGTTATTGCTAACAGAAAAGCTAATGGATGAGACAGTGTCACAGTCTGAAATATTCTGGAAGGGGCTTAGGCAAGTAGGACAGTAATGCCAGGAGACTCTATGATGTAAAGTTGGGTAACTAATAAAGCTCCAAATAGGATTTAATGAAAGGTCTTTCTATATCCAAGACAGAAGGCATTTAAGCAAGACAAATGATAGGGTTCCTAAAGAACAATCCAATGGAATGAGGGCACTGTCTCTGCAAGGAAAAAGAAAATCCCATTTCCCTCTGGTACACAGGAGATTCACAACCCACATGCACACCAGCAGCTTGCGAGCAAAATGCTACCCAAGTCCACAGTTAACTCTAACGTATAAATGGAAAACCAAGAATCAGACAATTGAGGATAAAATACAATCTAAAAAAAAATACAGCAGTGACAGCTGGAGAAACAGAATTAAGTGGAAGGGGGCGGGGAGTGACATTAAATAAAAAGGCAGGTCTGAGAAATTTCTCTAGAGATAAAAATTATACAAAAACAAAAGCAATAGTACAAAGAACCAAGGGGCCTCCAGGAAGGCCAATATTAATTTCTAGGACAAGAATAAATGGAACTCTACAATTCTATATAATGAAATATAGAAACAAATCCATTGCCATTAAGTTGATTCTCTAGCAGAGAAGCTGGGTGGATCAGAACCACTGACCTTTCTATGTGGTGCACTATACCACCAGAGCTCTTAATAAAATACTACATAGTCATTTGAAAAGGAAAAGACCCCACAGGCTTTGACATGGAACAAGCTCTAAGAGAAGTGGAGAAGAACTGTGCATGCAGAATGCTTCTTCATACTCATAAAGTTATTTCTGGAAGGATACCCAAGAAGCAGGTAATTGGTTACTCTGTGGGGATGGGAATTGAGATTTACAGTGGGATGAGATTTTATTTTTAACTCTTCTGGGGTGTTTTTTAAAAAGCACAAGACAGTTTTGTAGATGAGGGAAGGAATCTGATAAATATGGAAATGCTAATAAATTAATTAGGGAGCTCTGGTGGCTGAATGGTTAGGCACTACACTGCCAACTCAGAGGTATGGGGATTGAATCCACTAGCTGCCCCATGGAAGAAAGATGGGCAATCTCCTCCTGTCCCAGTTATTGCCTCTAAAACTTGCTGGAGTCAGCTGCGAGTCACTTCCGACTCCATGTTACTCAATGGTGATGATAACAGATTAATCTCACTAAAGAGGCAGCCATACATTCTGGCTTTGTTCTAGTTCAGCAGCTACATTAAATACACAAGAAGGATACTCCACAAAGCAGAAGCCACATGCAGTTTTCTTCATTTTATCCAGGCCCATAATGATTTTCTTTATGTCACCACTTTTGCTGAAGAGTTCGTAGATTTGTTCTTCTGTGGTATAAAAGGAAAGATTTCCTACATACAGAGTACAGCTTTTCTTCAGTAATTTTTCTTGCTCTTCATTGTCACCCTAGAATTTCAAATAGAGAAGAGTTAAGCAACACAACCTAAAAATGTGGTCTATCTTAAGGCTAAATATGGTAAAAACACATTAATTCTGATTTGGGAATTGACTTGTCTCATCATCCTAATTCATCACAAATCTACTTTTTAAAGAGAAAAAAGAGAGGAGGGAACTGCATACTATAAATAATTTATAAGAGAGGGTTAAATTACACTGCAGGCGGCCAACCTTCTGCCCTATTTCAAGCAACACTTTCTTCTTCTCTTGGTCTAAGCTTACTTAAATTATGGACCTGGAATCAATAGATCGGGAGGGATTCTTTTATTCGTTGTAGTGAAAACAATGAATGCTTTCCAAAGATAAGGTTTCCCTTTCCCAGAGACCATTCAAAACTAAATGCTTAGATGATTTTCATGCTCATGTATTTTTCCAAGTTTAGAAGAAAACAGTACTCAATTAAAAAGATACCTCACATTTTGGTGGGCTTCCCAATCTGGAAAATAGGGATCTCATTGGGTTCTGTAAAAATACCTGATAAACCACAGGGTGGCTCATGATGGGCTAGATACCGTCCATTAGAGAAAGAGTGTGGATGTAGATTCCTTTTACGGAACCCAAGTACGGAACACCAGAAACAGCACTGTACTAGTATCTAATGAATATTATAAAATTTAGATTGCAGACATCAATAGCAAAAGATAATCTTTGTATGTTAATCCTGCAGAATGATTTCAATTCAAGATGGAGCTTTCTACAACAGTGAAAAGCTGCAAAAGAGCAGAAATTAAATTCATGGACAAAAAAAAAAAAAAATTCATGGACAGCAGCACCTAATAAGCATATAAAGCTGCTAAGGGAACTTAAGGCCTTGCTCAATTCAGCCTCAAACCAAAGTTTCTTTGTTCATGCTCAAGTAACATTTTTTAAAATTTTATTGATATTTTACAGAAAATTTGGATTTCAATTCATTAACTGTTGCACATTTCCTCCCTACCCCCCACGCCAGTTTGCTTTTTTCTTTAAAAAGATTCTTTCATTGTTGCACAATTCCCCCCCCCTTTACCCCCCGCCCCTGTCCATCCAGTTTGCTATGCACCTCCTTTCTGGACTGTTGTCATGCAAATAATACCCAGTCATACAGTTTTTTCCCTCATCTATTTAAATGCAGTGTTCATTCTCTATCTCCTCAACAAATTTTAGGAAGGCGGGCTAGTTCCTAAGGAGTTGTGGGGATAATCCGAAAGCGTTGCCTCCTTGTCAGTTCTAATCTACCCAAGGGCAAAAAGGAAGATGAGCAATCTCCTCTCATGACCTTTACAGCCTCGGAAAACAGGCTGGACGGTGTGCTCTGAATCAGTTTCGACCCCAGAGCAGTAAAATATGAGTCACCAGCATAGACAAAAGGGAAAGGAAGCGTTAAAAGGGTCAAAGGCAATTAGAGAAAAGGCAAGCCTGTCCTTTATCTGGATGAAGACGGCGGCTCCGCACACACTGTAAGACAATTTACATTCTCCAGGAGTCAAATGGACAGCCCTGAGTCTGAGGCAGAGGTCCTTAAAAGTGGGAACCACAGGCGACCACTACTGCTATGCCCAAATACTAAAACCAGAGTCCGGGTATAGGCGGCAAGGGAATGGGAGCTTCATACTTCGATTCTATGTAGAAAGTGGCTTTAGCAAAACACAAAGACCCTTCTAGTGTCCATTCTCTGCTTTCCCCCCGGCCAGCACGACGGTATCACTTCGCGCCCCGCGACAACATTACGGTAAAAGACGGCACAATGAGATACAAGCCGATCGTCTCCCAGCCTTCGGGCCACGATCGTCCCCGCGGCCGGCCCGGCCTTCCTCACCCGGAAGTGCTGGTCCCGGTACTGGCTCAGCTCCACGTAGGAGTCGCTGCGCAGCGCCTTGAGGAGGCCTCCGGACATAATGCTGGGAGGTGGAAGAGAGCGCAGCCACCGCAGGACAGCTGTGAAGCAGAAAGCAGCAGTGGTGGCGGAACCGGAAACGCACCGGGGATGCCGATAAAAGCAGGAATCCTCTGGTCCAATCCGAAAGCTGTAGTGTCGTCATCAGGAGACGCCGGCACATACGCAGTCCTCTGTCGGGCGCGGCCGATCGGAAGACCGGAGTGGCGCGCTGCGAGTTCCGGGATCCTCCCAGAGAATGGTGTTTCGGCGCCTTCTTGCCGCCTTGCTGCACAGCCCGCAGCTCGTGGAGCGACTCTCGGAGTCACGGCCCATCCGGCGCGCGGCGCAGCTCACGGCTTTCGCGCTGCTGCAGGCCCAGCTGCGCGGGCAGGACGCAGCGCGACGCTTACAGGGGCTCGCGGCTGGCTCCCTGGCCCGCCGCGCGATCCGCTTCAGAGACACCTTCTATCAGGAGCTGCGCCGCGGCCTCCGGGACCGTCCGGGATCACCACCAGGTAGCCGGAGAGGCCCCGGCGCACACCCCTAAGGCCAGAGTGGGCTGAGGTCATCTGCTTCCTCTTTCTGGGCTCTACACCGGGCACGTCATTGAGGGGTCATTCCGGACATTGCTCGTGGCGATTCCTGACGCCCATTTGCAGAGGTTCAGCGGACCGAGACTAAAGCAACAATGTCTTTGAAGCACTGATCGAAGATCTGACTCCAACGCGCAGCAGAGAGATCGATCCGTGGACCCAACGAACCAGAGCCGAAAAGAGAGAATGCCTTCTGTGAGTGGCCAACAACTCTTGATACTAAGGCCTGTGCCCGGATGGAGCACCACTTCCAGGGAAGATCGTCAGTGGAAAGACAGTCCTGCAACCGCCAAAATCCTTTGTGATTAAATGTGTGAGCTAATTAATTAGTCTGATTGTGATACTTCTCAGGCAAGATGGATTAGGACCTCTGGGGGATATAGGTACATGATAATCTTTCTCAACATTTCCCGTCTTTCTCCCTCAGAGCAGCTTGTTAATTCGGACCTCATATATGCCCTTGGTTTGATAGTGCAACCTCTCATCCACTTGTTAAGTGGCATGGACTGACACATAGCTGACCCTCCAGTGGGTTTTCAGAGGTAGTTAATCCCACGAGAGGAAATTGCACAACTGCATAATAATAATAGTTTAACACATTAGGTGCTTACTCTGTTCTGGCTGTTGGGAGTTGCACACTGTATGTTAGCACTTTTACTATTCATTACAAACACTTTAATATGTGGACGCAACTCCTTACCCAACACCTTACAGATGAGATGTGAGTGCCCACATTTGACCCCAGAACCTGAGTCCTCAGTTACAGCATTTACCCGGACCGTGGTTCTTGCTCCCATCCCCACATCCCCACCTCTTTAGGGCAGTAGCCCACCATGGAACAAATCATCTATGCTTTCTAGTTTCTGTTTTAGAGGATCTGGGATACAAATTAAGGCAGACTTTGTTCCAGCTGAGTGAACTCATGATTAGGAAATCTATAAGTATTATGCATAGAAATGCCCTGTCATACCAGATGCCTGTCTGGAATTTGATTGTCTCTAACTGGACTGACTATAGGGAACTCTGGCAGCCCAGTGGTAAGAAGCTGCACTGCCAACCCAAAGATACATGGTTTGAATCTACCATCATCTGCTTTATGGAAGAAAGATGGACAGCGTCCTCCCATGCAATTTATTGCCTCCAAAAACCTGCTGCAGGGTCAGCTATGAGTAAATTCCAATTAGACAGTACAAAAGAACTACAATTAATTACATAATTAGTTGTAATTATGTAAGCACTCTGAAGGTTTGGAGCCACAGGAAAAGCTGTTGAGTGATCCAGCAGTTAATATCATGGCTTTTCTGATAGTCAGCAGAGTGAGCTGGATAGATCTTGGACATCAGCCTGGGGTTCTTCCGTGCAGGGATCAAGCAGTGAGTGTTAAGGGCACGGTGACAAGCTGGGAGGGAGCTCTAGTGCCTTCCTGTAAGGAGTTGTGTTGCCAACCCAAAGTCATTTGGTTTGAATCCACCAGCTGATGTATGGTAGATAGATGAGCAGTCTCTTAACTGCACTTTACTACTTCTGCAGACGTCCTGGAGGACTAGCTATGGATCTTGTCTAACTCAGGGTACGTAACAATGTGACAAGCTAGAGGAAGCTTTTGTGGTCTAGTAGGGAAAGGGTTGTGCTGCCAACCCCTAGGTACATGATTTAAATCCATCATTCTGAAGCTTTGTCTGATGTACTTTGGGCATGTTACGAGGAGGGACTGCTCTTTGGAGAGGGACGGTGCAGGAGAGGAAGACCTTTGATGAGATGGATCGACTCTGTCAGTGGGGTGGTAGGAATGAATGTGTTTGAGACAGCGAGGTTGCCACAGAATAGAACGGCATTTAGGACTCTTGTACATAGCGTCGCTGTGAGTCACAAGTGACTCGATGGCACATAACAGCAACAGACATTCCAAGGGAGAAAGTCGGGCATTCTCCTATGTGATTAACTGCTTCTCGAAACCCACTGAAGGACCAGCTATGAGGCTTTTGCGACTTGAGGGCATATAACATGACAAGCTAGAGAGATTACAACCCCTTTAAATGAGTAAATAAGTGCCCGCTGATTTTGCTGTATGGATCTGTGGACTAGCGGTGCTGGGTCTTTTAACTTTTCAGAAGCTGGAAATTCTATTTTCCAGGAGAAACCTGGTTTATAAAGCGACAGCTAATATATTTAGGTATATCAGAATGTCTGTGGGCTACCTTTTTCCCACCTCATTACCCAGTCTTTCTTTGAAACATAGGGTTCCAGTCATGATATTACATAATATTTGGGCATAAAAAGCTCCTAGTTACATATTATTGCATATTGTTGGTCAAGTGGGAACTGAACCATAGCTGACCCTCCAGTGGATTTTCGGAGGCAGTTAAACCTACAGGAGATTGCCCCTCTTTCTGTGGAGCAGCTGGTGGATTCAAACCACATCCCTTTGGGATCACTGCCCAGTGCAGGAAGTGTTATTTACTCTTTTTTGAGTGTTGCTATGCAAGTGTATTTACTTTTCCTTGTTGAGGCCTTTCTGATGTCATATGGCCCTTTAGCCATTTCTTGTCCGGGCCACATGTCCTCATCTCAGAGTTGAGTTTTTCCCCAAATATTTCATACTTTACCATAATTTTCAGTGCAGCACCAGTAGCAGTGATTTAAAAAAAATATTCCATAACTTGGGAGATGAAGAGCATTATTCTGGATGAACTAACTCAGCCTTGTAAGAAAAATACCACATAACACTGTTGTTGATACTGTTATGTGCCATCAAATTGGCTGCAACTTATAGCGACCCTGTGTACAACAGTTATGAACTGTGCTCTATCCCTTGCCAAACGTATTGTCTCTGACATACCTACCCTCGTTACCCCAGTCACTAAATCAGTCCTTCTCATCAAGAGTCTTACTTTCTTGTGCTGTCCCTCCACCCTCCTAAGCATGACGTCCTTCTCCAAGGACTGGTCCTGCCTTGCAACATGTCCAAAGTATGTCCGACGGAACTTCAGGATCCTTGCCTGCAAAGATAAGCCTGGTTTTACCCTCTCCAGGACAACCCTGTTTGTTTTCCTAGCAGTCCATAGTCTATTCAGTACTCTTCTCCAGCTCCACAGCTCAAAGGCATCAGTTCTCCTATCATCCCTAGTCATTGTTCAGCTTTCTGATGCATAGCACATAACTGCAAAGACCATGGCCTTTATCAAGCACACCTAGTCTCCAGACTGATATTGTTGCTCTTCAGTACTTTGGAGAGGTCCCTGACAGCAGACTTTCCCAGTGTAATTCATCTTTTGATTTCCTGGCTGCTGGTGCCAATGGTGTTGATTGTGGAGCCAAGCAAACTAAAGCTGTTAACAATCTCAATCTCTTCACCATCTATCATGATGCTTCTAATTGACCCAGGGGTGAGAATCTTTGTTTTCTTGATGTTGAGCTTCAATCCATATTGAAGACTGCAGTCCTTGACCTTCTGTAGCAAGTGCTTCAGGTTCTCAGTTTCAGCAAGCAGGGTTGTGTCATCTGCATGACACAGGTTGTTGACTTCCTCTTAAGACTAATAATATAAAAAAAGAAGAACTAATTTTAATTTATGTGATAGACTTCCTGAGTCTCTGAAGTAGGACTTATGATTGTGTGCAAAAGCCCCAAGAGAGACCTTAGACTTATTCTTCTGTTAGATGGTATACCAATTGATACATTTCAACAAACAAATGGTGCCCTAGATGTGCTCACCAAGTTGTGCCATGAAATCTGGAGGACAACCATCTGGCCAACTGACTGGAAGAGATCTGTATTCCCATTCCAAAGAAGGGTGACCCAACAGAGTGTGGAAATTATTGAACAATATCATTAATATCACATGCAAGCAACAGTTCAGCAGAGAACTGCCAGAAGTGCAGGCTGGGTTTAGAAGGGGCCGTGCTATGAGGGATATTGTAGCTAATGTTAGATGGATGTTGGCTGAAAGCAGGGAATACCAAAGGAATGTCTATCTGTTTTCTTGACTATGCAAAGGTGTTTGACTGTGTGGACTGCAACAAACTATGGCTAACTCTGAGAAGAATGGGAATCCCAGTACACTTGATTGTGCTAATGAGAAACCTATGCTTGGGCAAGGAGGCAGTCGTCAGAACAAAGAAAGGAAACACTGCATGGTTCAAAATTGGGAAGGGTGTATGCCAGGGATGTGTCCTTTCTCCATACCTTTTCAATCTACATGCAGAACAGATTATCCGGGAGTTTGAGCTCAATGAGAAGAAATGTGGCATTAGGATTGGAGGAAGATTAATCAATAATATGAATTATGCAGATGACACCTGAAGTGCTTGCTGCAGAGGTTCAAGGACTGCACCCTTCAATAAGGATTGAGGCTCAATGTCAAGAAAACAAAGATTCTCACCAATGGGCCGATTGGCAGCATCGTGATGGATGGTGAAGAGATTGAGATTGTAAA